GCTGGCATCCGGGGGACGTCGCAGAGCACGAGGCCCTCGACAGTTCTCAGGGCCGCCACTTCCGGCCTGGCTGAGCGCAGCCGGGATGGGGCCCCACGGATCCCAAGAGAGTAGAGAAGTGGGTTTCCTCCTGAGTCCAGTTGGTGCAGCAGCCAGCGTCGGGGTGGAATTTATAACCCGGAACGCTAATTTTGAGTGAACTGGGGCTACCAGGCTTCCAAACCTTGATGACAGCTCGTTTACCTAAGGAGGAACACAGAGCCTTGGTGTTGGAGTCCAAGACCTTGCTCTGGCTGCGCAACTTGTGACCTTGTAACATTCTTATCTGAAATGAAAGATGATGTCTGACCAGGATTGCCGGTGTAAGATCTCCCACACAATGCTCAATTTTGATTATAGTGAACTTTATTTTAATTAATTTTGTTTTGACACAGGATTTCACCATGTAGGCCAGGCTGGCCTGGAACTCACGGCAATCCTCCTGCCTCAGCCTCCTCAGTGATGGGATTACAGACATGCACCACCACACCCAGCAATTACCATGAATTTAAGTAACAAAAATGTGCCTTAAACCAATGGAATATTGTAAATTATCTTCAGGAGCCACATTTCACATACCACAAAATCACATATAAGCATCTATGTCATTTTTAGCCTAAATAAGTAGTCGAGGTTAATTCCAGGAATCTGTTGACTGAGTTCCTCTGATGTAAATCCTGTCGTGATTTATATTCGATTCCATTTCTAAACTATCTGCTGTTTTTGGCACATCTTGCTGCAGTTGTCATACTGTTTTAATTATTACAGATTTGTGGTATATTTTAGTATAGGTGTAAAAGTGTTTCTGGGGGCAATTTTAAAAGAAGTTTTCAGCCAGACATGGTGGTGCACACCTGTAATCCCCGCAGTTGGGAGGCTGAGGGAGGAAGATTGCCCCTAGTTCAAGGCCAAGCTAGGCTATATAGTGAGTTCAAGGACATCCTGAATTACAAAGTTGTCAGCATTTATTATAATGGGTCAGACCCATCTAAAGGCCCACTGTTTCCTGGAATAACCAGAAGGAAACTTTATTTTCTCCCTAACGTTTACGAATCTTCTTAGGGGAAGGCCCTAAATCTGTAGTCTTCCTGTGTCCTGTAACCTGGTCACACCCTTCACTAGTCAGTTTTAGCACCATGAATGCTGCACCTCAGTCCTCTTCCTGATTTGAACTTGGCTTTGAGTCTCTTGATTTTTTTTCTTTCAGTGGTGTATGTTTGCAGTACATAACAGTTAAGTTTGTTTCAGGGAGTTGGTTTGTGTGTGTGACATTTCTTTTCAATTCCTTTGCCCATCTCAAAAAAAAAAAAAATTTTTTTTCTCAATTCTTTCAAAAAGTTTTTGTTTCCTATCATCTTTGTTTACTTTTATTTATATTTTAGATTTCTTATATAAGAGAAACCACATGATAGTTTACTTTCTGTGTCTGACTTATTTCACTTAACATTATGGTTTCAAGGTCCATCTATTTTCCTGGAAATGATATGTTTTCATTCTTTATGGCTGAATTATTTTTATACACACATATACACAGAGTCCGCCAAAAAAAAAAAAGTAGAGACACTTAACAAGAAAACCTTGTGTAAATATTTTAATACTAAATTTATTAAGACATCACGAGATTAATACAAGTTAACTTTTGGTATGTACAATTACAAGAAGCACTCAAAATTGGTTCCATGAGCTTCCAGTCATTAATACAGCAAACTGCTGCTTGGGTGACCTTGGTCATTGAGATGGCTGCACATGCATTTCAGTTTCTTCTCTAAGGTCCATCAGTGTAGTGGGTTTTCTTCAATGTACGACATCCTCTGGGGTCCCCTACAAGAGGATAACACTATATTGAAAAAAAATACCTATTTTTTTTTCCTGAAATGTGTATGCATGTTTTTCAGCACATTTTGTATATATCTCACATTTTCTTTATTCATTTGTCTGTTGATGAGCATCTAGATGGTTTCCAGAGTTTAGTTAACTGAAATGAGCTGCTATAAACATGGGTGGGCATGCATGTGTCATTACAGTATGGTATCTTTTGACTCCTTCAGGGATAAACTCAGGAGAGGAACAGCTGGATCTAATGGAATTTCTCTTTTTTTTTTTTTTTTTTTTTTT